TCTTAAGTAACTAAATTAAACCTTGTTGGGATTTTTTTTTTCAAGACATTCTCCCATCTTAAAAATTTTTTAAGATTTTTCATTGATTTTTAGAGAGAGGAAAGAAGAGGGAAAGAAACATCAATGTGAGAGAGAACCATCTATTGGCTGCCTCCTGCACACCCCCTACTGGGGATCAAGCCCACAACCCAGGCATGTGCCCTGACCAGGAATTGAACCAGCAACCCTTTGTTGCACAGGGCGATGCCCAACCAACTGAGCCACACCAGCCAGGGTTCCCCCTTCCAATTTGGGGATAAACTAAAAGGAAAGCCTTAAATTTAGAAAAGAATAGAGTTCTTTCTTAAGTAACTAAATTAAACCTTGTTGGGATTATTTTTCAAGACATTCTCCCACCTTAAAAATTTTTTAAGATTTTTAATTGATTTTTAGAGAGAGGAAAGAAGAGGGAAAGAAACATCAATGTGAGAGAGAACCATCTATTGGCTGCCTCCTGCACACCCCCTACTGGGGATCAAGCCCACAACCCAGGCATGTGCCCTGACCAGGAATTGAACCAGCAACCCTTTGTTGCACAGGGCGATGCCCAACCAACTGAGCCACACCAGCCAGGGTTCCCATGTTAAATCTTAAAAGCAGTGCTGTTTCTGCAATTAGGTATCAAGAAGTGAAATATGATGACTCTGTTCCTATGAAACACTTAGGAACACACTGCTTTTGACCAAGCTCTCCTTCAGTCATTCACATGAAACCTGGGGATAAACCAGCATTGGGTTAAGCTGGCACAGGCGACCAGCAAGAGCTGACCAGAGCCATGCCTGCCTGGAAAGCACTCCCTCTTTAAGAAAGGGGATAGCTACAGAGGAGGGTCACCGGGGAGACTTCCAGAAAGAAGTGTGAAGCAGAAGACAAAAAGTCACTGTACAGCCTGAAGATCATTTTCCAGCCTGACTCAACCGGGCATGGGACCTTGAACAATCATTTCCCTGCTCTTTTAAAAGTTAGGCATTGCCTTTTTACATCCTCCCTGGTATCTGTACTCTCCACCCTGCTGTCAGAGTAATGTTTCTAAGTCAGAAATATGATTTTGTCCCTCCCCTATTTAAAACTATTTGATGGTTTCACATTGCTCTTAAGAAAAAGGCCAGGGGTGTGGGGAGTATCAATTGGGGGAAAAGGAGACACATGTAAAACTTTAGACAATAAAAAAATAAAACAGTAGGCATTGGAGTCCCATGTCTTCAAGGTTACTGTTAGACTCCCATTTGATTTTCTCTATATCCTGTGGGAAGATGTGTTCTCTTTCACCCAACCATCAGCATGAATAGAGAGCCAGAGGGAAAATAATAAGGGTAATGACCTCCAATACCAGAACAGTCAGGCTGATAATCTAAGAGAATGAAGCAGCTGGTGGGAACTGTGACAACATAAGTCAGATGTTCCATGTAGGGACATGTGCCTCATCTAAAGGGGCAGCTACTGTTCAATTCTAGGTAAATGTCACCATGAAGAAAGATCTGGAAAATTTTCCGAGGGAAAAAAAAATTAGATTTTTAATAAATGTAGTTTGTTGGTTGTTTAACCTTGGCAATAAATTCTGATTTTTAAAAAAGAAAAACAAAATACCTTGTGTCAAATAAAATACATCTGCAGCCAGATACAGCCTGCAGGCCTATAGTTTTACAACTTCTGAAGAAAAGGATGTTATGACATGATATAATTTGTTTTTCATAATTTGGCTTTTCAGTAGGTCAGTAGTTTATTTCCCCTTACATTTAAGAGACACTGTGCAGAAGCTCTTTCTGGAATGTTAGGCAAGAACTGAAACTACAACTGAGGTTCACAGACCTGCTGCCTCTCACCCCAAGGAGGAAGCCACTGCCCCCTACTATGCCTCTGTGCAGCTCCAAGCTTGCCCCTTCAGGAAGGTGCTGGAGCTCAAGAGATAGAAGCCATTCCAGCCCTTCCCACACCATCTCCTCCCCCATCTTAATGCTAAGAAGTGGCCCCAAAATAATCCTGACCCAGGAGAGTATGTATGATGAAAAGTCAGCACAGATAGTGACAATCAGGGGGACAGTCCCAGCACTGCACCTGGACCCCAGCCCCAAAGATCAGGTGGTAGGAAGTCACCCACAACAAGCCTGGGGACTTGTGAATACCCTCAGGTGACCCAAACTAACCTCGCCCAGTTCTCCTTAAACAGGAGAATTTCAGTTTATGGTTTCTTACTTAAATATGACACTGACAAAGAAAACATACTTTGATCTTATACCAAATACTTTTATTCTTAAAGTGAGAAGTTCACTAAGATAGCTATAGTAGAGTGAAACATGTAGAGTAGAAAAAATTGTGGGTGCTAACCAAACTTCAAATACTGTCACAGCAGAGTTATTCCAATAGCACTTTGCATGGCAGATCACACGTGTTAAAATTAACTACATTCTCTGAACACCTCGCAATGGACATGCACAAGTGATGGAAGCAAACATTTAGGGACTACTGTCCTTGAGATCTTACAGGATGTATTTATGCATACCTCTAAGCAAATATATTACAACACATCCAAAACAATTCACATTCACTTAAAAAATATATTTTGACTTCAAAGAAATTGGTACAAAGACTTAAAACAACAAGACGAATACAGGCAAGAAAAAGAATGCTACTTTTATGTGCAAGGTACTGGATTCTTGAATTGAGAATCAGTGTCAGTCCTCACTTCCAACATCACATTGAAAAAGTGTAGTGGAAACGTAAGTCACCTTCAATATGAAGGATGTGAGTTGTATACACTGACAACACTCTCGAAGACACAACAGCATTGCAGGAGGAATGCCAGTATACAGAGTGGGCCTTTTTATGAGGCCAAGCACTCGTGAGTTATCGGATGACCCTTCAGATATTTGGGTTAAGCAACTACAATATTCTGGTTTAATCAAGGCACTTGTAAAGAGCTACCTTTGACATGACAGAGTCCCTACAAGTTGTTAGCCACTGGTGATGGCATGGTTTTTTGGTTAAGCAGCATTCTCTACTGAGAACCCAAGCATGATGCCTTGATCACAAACAAGGTCACTTATAACATTACAACTGCAAAACCAGATTTGCCTAAACTTCCCCAAATCATGGTTTTTGATCAATCATGTCTGAATAGAAAGGCTTCACTTAAAATCTTGATTCTCCAGAGTTATAATTCACCTTTCTTCAATACCTCCCAACGCCTCTAAAGCTTGTTTGGTTCTTCTCCACAAAAACACATAGACTGGATCTTTTTCTCCCTTCTACAAATGACTTCCCCAGGAGAGAACTGTAGAACCAACTTAAAAACACAAAATAATCTTACATTTCTCGCCAACAGTTAAGTATCAGACCTCCCACTCCTACTCTGACTCGAGCAAAGAGTCCTTTGTGAACACCTTACCAGACGTTCCTCATACCATTAACACAGCTTTCCTTCACCATCAACTGTCCTTCTTCAACCTTTCCTTGCCCAATGTGAAAGCTAGTGAATTGAGAGGGAAGGAGAAATGGCATTGAAAAAGTATTGCTTTGATAAAAATGGGATTCCAGGCTATTACTTGATCCTCCACAGCAAAACTGGACAGCATCATCCATATAGACCCCAACACTAAATTCTCCAAGTGGCTATCTTTTTTTTGTAGCCAGGTCTCAAAGCTCAAACCTAAACCTACTGAAGGAAAGTAGCAAAGACTTCCTAATATTGAGCATTATATTATAGACCTAGAAGTACATGGGGAATATGACAGGTCCACACCATTTACTAGGTTGCTTAATTCATCGATAAGAGGCCAAGTTCTCCATTCTCCCCCAGCTCTGCCATTCTGGGAAGAACCCACTGGCCAGCCTCGGACTGCCAAAGATTGTTGACTCTAACTCAGTCTTGGGGGGCACCTGGTAGAAGGCACAGTTCTGGGATGCCATCTGTGTCTGAACGCCATCAGGTTTCCATTGCACATGAACAATTCTATAATTCTGACCCTCATTGTTGTCCCAGAAGACCTGCCCGTTAGCCTGGTAAGAAATGCAGAACTCAATTTTTTCCTCAGTTGGAATGACAGAGGGTAAGTCAATGGCAAACGAGAAGGTGTCACTATCTGAGCCACCATACACATTTTTCATGTAGACACAGTCCACATTGGTGTAGTTTTTCCAAGTATCAAAAGTAATACGGATCTGGACCTTCTTCTCGAAGCTCACATTTTTTACCTTCACAGTCCCAGTCACTGTTCGCTCCTGAAGGGAGCAGTTCTCCAGACACACAAAATTCTTCTGGAAGTGGTTCCGAAAACTCAAGTAATCGATTGAAGGCTGAGGGAAGTCTAAGATCAAGTTTTTCTCCTCATGGAGCTTCAAACCAGAGGACAGATCATTAAGGTCCAAGAGATCAAACTGGAGGTCCCACGCTGGTTCTTCTGGGAGGTCAGAGAAGACATGGATGGCGGTGAGGGAGAGGCCCTTGGAATCTGCAAACACAACCCGTTTCTTGGCCTGGTTGTGTGGACTCTTCCAGTCATTCTGTGATTTGGCTTCCTGTTTTATATTGAGACACGGTTTCAGGGGCTTTAATTTGTTGACAAAATTTCTTCGTTGGAGGTCATCATATGGCCCCAGGAAATTCTTCAGAGGTGGGGAATGAGCCAAGCAGAGCCTCATGGCCACATCCACTGGCACGACTGAACTTGTCAAAGGCCGTGGATCTAAAACCTGGATCATTCTGGAATATGAGAAGAAAGGTAGTTGTCACCTGGATCTAGAATACTCTTCCCCTGTTCCCAAATACACACATACTATTTTGTATTGGCTAAATCATTGCCTGCACAGTAGGGAGGTGCTATCATATGTATTTACAAAAACAAACAGTATTATAATCAGATCTGTGTTCTGTGTTTGATTCTACCATTGACTGGCCACAAGGCCATGGGTTAACTGCTTAAAACACTTGGGGAGTCTCAGATTCCCCAAATGAGACATAAAAGGGTTGGATGAGGTAATCTTTAATGTAGATTTAAAAACCATTGGCTCCATTCTGGACCAGTGCTTTTCAAACCTCTCTGGTCACAATGGCCTAAGGAGTTGATTTTCTTTCTTTTTCTTTAATGCAGAATCCTGGGACTTAGAGTCACTAAGGCAGAACCTCTGGGGTTGGGGACAAGGCGTTACATATGTTCTTAAAGCTTACGGTGATGTTAATGACCAGACAGGTTCTGGAGCCATAAAACTCTGTGCTTCCTCTGGCTGCTTTCCTGATTTTGCTATTGAATTGATTATACATCTCTGAAAAGGTAACACACTTGGGGGAAAATAAAGTTCTCATGGAACTGTTTTGAGAGTGAGAGGCTGAAACGAGTGAGTGAAGTCAGAGAATTATCTCTGCACTTGGATTATCATGCTCTTCCTCACAAGCGACTGAAATGCCACCCAGCAAAGCATGCGCTTAAAAACTTCACACAATCTATGTTTCATGTATAAAGACATCTATGAAAAGACACATTTAAGTGGAAAAAGCTGATAACCTGAAAACTGAACTATATATATATTATATATATATACATATATATAATATATATATAGTGTGTATATATATGAACATATAAATATCAAAAAAAGTTCATAGGAAATGCACCAAAAAGTTAATTGTCTCTGGGTGATAGGATTATAGGTGATCTTTTTTTTTGTCTTTGGACTTTTAGGGCATTTTCTAATGTTTGGGCAATAGATATTTATAACTAGAAAGATAATAAAGCTATTTTAAAATTTAAACAAAACTATGCTGAGCAATATTAAATTAAGAAGTTCCCATCAAGTAGGATTTTTTCCCTGGCCCTCAGCCCTCATTATGTATTGCCAAGCATATGGGCTTTTCTTCCCTATCCTCGCCTTACAGATAAGAGGTGTATGTATACTGTACATGGCATTTCTTAGTAACTCTTCACGGCAGCTCTAAGCTAGTAGGTCATTATCCCAAAAATGGATAGTAGTAAAAGAACCTCCACAGAATTTATTTTATCGGTCCTGGGATTTTTCTGGAAGACCTACAAACTTAGAACAAAAATAAATAAAAGCTAAAGCTATATTTGTGAGTCTAACAATCCTTAACAGGAAGGATTTTTCGAGAAGTCTGCTAAATGCGTCTGAGGAAGCCATTTAAGATGGTTTTGTGGGGAGGTTTGCTTTGTGGGTTTGGTTTGTATTTTTTACTTTTTGCACTTATTGAAAGGCAGTTTTAAAATTTAGCCATTTCCCCGAAATTTTAAATCCTGGCCAAGAGTTCAAAAATCATCCTTTGCTCAAACTCGGCCGCTGAGTTTGCTGTGGCAGCCCGTGATCAGAGGAGTGGAGGACGACGAATGAATTCAAATATGGTCCTGTAGTTTTCTCCCCAACCAGCGACGTCAGAGTGCCTTGCCCTCAAACTAGGAGTCCTTGGGGTCTTTGTGCGGGACCAAGAGATGACAGTCGGAATCCATAAGGGAATCAGAACTAGAGCCGACCCTCCTTGAAACAGTTTCTGGTTTCAGATGCGGGTTACCAAAATCAACTCCGCCTAAGCACCGAGCAAATCTCCACACCTCCCAGGCCTCCCCCTGCTCGATTCCACTCAGCAAGGATTCAACGTGCCCTCCCGTGGGGTCTGCACTTGCAGAGCGGACAGAAGGGAAGCGCAGCCCAACCTCCCCGCAGCCGCCCGCACCCCCGTGCTCCGGGCGGAGGTCTGCAGCGAACCCACCTGGTGCAGCTCATCAGGCAGAGAAGCGGCGTCGGACCGAGAGATCGGCACTGGCTGCCTGTGCAAGTTCGCGCCCCGCTCCCAGCTGTCCCAGCTGGGCAGTAGCTCCAGTGGATTGCGGGTGCGGCTTCCAAGAGGCCCCTTATCTGCTCCTGACCACGTGGCCCGATCCCGCGACCAACCAGCTCCCAGCTGGGGCGCGAGCCCTCTCCGGAGTACGTGACCGCCGTGGTGCTGGACTCCTGCAGGGTGCGCACGGCCAG